TAGTTTTAATGTTTTTTGTAAGTCGCCCAGAGTCCCCTATTGTGGGGGAGATGGGCGGGGGGAGAAATCCACTAAATAAAAATAAATACAGTGAGGCACAGGGAAGCATGCCATGTGTACAGAGCCAAGGGATGATTATAAAGGTAGGGAGAACCAAATTCCTTGAACTTCCCAGAAAAAAGAAGAATGCAAATGAAATTAATACATCACATTGTGACAATGACATGTGATAAGTTGTTTAGAAGTGTTTCCCCAACCATGCCTGTTCAAAATATGGAGAAAGAAGGTGTAATGATGATCCTGTTAACCTGTGGTTGATGTTTTGACTTTTATGGACCTAATTAAAAATCTACCCACTCATGCAACTGGTAAGTCTACATTTATGATGTGTGCTGCAATAAAAATGCCTCTCCTGTGAAATTGTGAAAGGAAGAACAATTTATGGACTGGTCACCCAAAATGCTACCTGCATGTAAGTTCAATGCAGGTATAATTCTGGTACTTCACCAGAGGATACACATATCTCAATTTTTCCATATGTTTATATCGACAACAGTCCTATTCTCTATGCAAATGCATACTGAACTTCTGTTTCTCCTTTCAATACATAGAAATAAAATTTTATCATGAGGGTCTTTTATCTGCCTCTCATGTCATGATTAATACAGACCCACGTGTGGCTTCTTTGGGCACTTTCTCTACTGAAGAGAGAACCAGTCAAGTTGTTTGTTTTTTTTAAATCTTCTCCTTTGGTTGTGAAATTTCACACTAAAACATATGCCACTTCTTTTTTTAATCGTTTTTATTAAAATATTTTACTCATATAATAAGAAGTACATTCAAAGGAAAAGAGTATAGTAAATGTGAGCGAAAAGAAAGGAAAAAGAGGGACAAAGAAAAAAGGAGATAGAAAAAAGAAAGAGAAAATAAAAGAACAGGAGTGCTGAGATTCATAGAGATGTTTTTGGGCACTGCCTGGGTTTATATCTATCCCATATTCTTGATATGGCACGTCTAATAAAGTAGCTTTTAAAATCCACATTAACTTTAACTTTATCGTACTGTAAATATCCATGCCATCCAAACCTCAGGCCATGGGCTTCTAACTCTAAAAGTCTTTTGTTTTTCAGCAACACCCATTCTTTCATCCAGACCAAACAACAAGCTGCAAAATACAATTTCAAATCTGGTAAACCCAATCCCCTGTTTCCTTTGCATCTTGTAACACTTTATATTTAGCTCATGGTTTTTTCCCCTTGCCATACAAATTTAGATGTATCTTTTTGCCATTGCTTAAATGGTACATCAATTGTCAAAACAGGTATTGTCTAAAACAAAAACATCATTCTAGGCAAAACATTCATTTTTATCACAGAAATTCTCCCCAACAGTGACAATTTTAATTTCTCCTATCTTAACATGTCCTCCTTACTTTCGTTCCATGTCTACATTCATTTTTATCACAGAAATTCTCCCCAACAGTGACAATTTTAATTTCTCCTATCTTAACATGTCCTCCTTACTTTCGTTCCATGTCTACATTCATTTTTATCACAGAAATTCTCCCCAACAGTGACAATTTTAATTTCTCCTATCTTAACATGTCCTCCTTACTTTCGTTCCATGTCTTAGCATACTTATTTTGAAATAACATACAATTCATATTTGTCATAATAATACCCAAGTATTTTACTTTTTTCTCAATCTTAAGACCAGTTTTCTCCATCAACTCTATTTGATCTTCTATTTTCCAATTTTTTGTTAACATTTTCATCGTCTGATTATTAATCTTAAAACCTGCTAGCATACCAAAGTCCTTTAATTTTCCCATTAATCTTTCTACTCCCTCTAACAGATCCTCCAAAACTACCACCAGGTCATCCGCAAATGTCCTTAACTTACGTTTTTTTTTTATCTTTACTCCCACAATTCTCTCATCTTGTCTTATGTCTCTATTTAGTAGCTCAAGAACTAAAATGAACAAGAGTGGAGCCAGCGGGCATCCTTGCTTGTCCCTTTTTGAATCTCACAAGGTTTTGTTAATTCTCCATTAACAATTATTTGTGCTTCCTGTGAGGTATAAATCAATCTTACCCATTTAATAAAATTGTCTTCAAAGTTCATATCTTCTAGAACGCTAAACAAGAAAGTCCAGTTCAAATTATCAAAGGCCTTCTCTGCATCTAAGAAGATCAATGCAGCTTGTTTTTCATTGTGCTGCTCCAAATACTCCAGAATATTCAACACATTTCTAATGTTATCTCATAATTGTCTTTTAGGTAAAAACCCACATTGATCTTCTTAACTAAAGTCCTGTAAAATTATTTTCAACCTTTCAGCCAAAATAATTGTAAACATAGTTATTATTCAATAAAGACATTAGTCGATAATTTCTTGTTAAAGTCAGGTCCTGGCCCTCTTTAGGTATTAAGGCTATATTGGCCTCTTTCCAGCTGTCAGGAACCTTTCCATTCTGGAAAATAATATTCTTCATTTGTTGCAAAGGTTGTAAAAGTTCATCCTCAAAACATTTATAATGAGAGGCTGGCAGACCATCTGGACCAGATGCCACTTCTCCTTTGGCAGAAAACTCTCAGCCTTGCACTCTGGCATTGCTGCGGTGCTGTTAATTTTACGAGTTGGGTAACTTGGTCTGGTTTTGCTAGTTCGATGATATTTTCTCTGAAACTGGAACAAAGTTTGTTTTTGTGCGCTGCTCAGTTCCGTAGGGTTGTGAATTGTCCCCTTCCCTCCCCCTGCCTCCCACAACTGAGTTACAAGGGTTCTGATCCTG